GACTTGTGCGTGCTTTCTCATTGCTATGACTTCATAAGATTCATAAGAGCAGTTGTCTGGAAGACTATTACCTTGTGGGTATCCACACTTTCTGGTTCTTACAATCTTTCTGCCTCTACTTCTACAATGATTCCTGATTAGGTGTCCCAATCAAGGATAACCACTCTGTGGACTCTTGTTCTCTGAATATTGGCCAATTGTGGATTTCTGCTACATAAGGAAACTTCTCTGGTGAGGATTGAGAGATGCACTCATCCTATGTGTAGAGGCTGCATTGAAGATGCGTCATATAGGGTTATGCATGTCGTAGACATCTGCATTTGAGTAGTTCTGGAACTCTGCAATAGTTTCCATCTGTTGTAAAAAGTAGCTTCTTTGGGACTGGAGAGATTCAGTGATTAAGAGCTCTGACTGCTCTTGAAGCAGACCTGGGTTCAAATCCAAGCACCAACATGATGGCTAACAATTGTCCATCACTCCAGCTCCAGGGAATCCTGCATCCTCTTCTGACCTCCATGAGCATTGCACAACACAAGCTCACATTCATGTAGGTAATACACTCATAAACATTAAATTTAAAATAAATAAAATATATTAAAAGTAGCTTCCTTTTCTCATTTCTAATATTTTATTGCATCTTTGTGCATTTCATATAATACATCTTAATGAAATTTAAACCCCCACCAGATTTCAAATATTTTGTCATATATGTTGAGTACTATCTGGTCAGTATCTCCAGACAAATGACATTTCTTATCATATGCCCAAAGTGGATCCTTATATTTATAGACAAATGTATCATACACCACTAATCAAAAAATTAACTTCTTTGATTAGGGGTGAAAAGAACACTTGTTTGTATATATGAGGATGCATATTTAGAATGAAGTAAGTAATTACATTGGTCTAGGGATGTGGCAGAAGTAATGTTTTCTCTAGGATCTATGACCTTTCCAGCCATGTGTATTAGGCTATATTTAGAGTGCCACACTTGAGTTCCTTCACTGAGCATGCTTTAGTCAATTCCAGTTAGACATCCGTTGATTATTCCCAAGGTAAAAATATCATTACTGCACCAATAACAATAGTTTATAGTCATTATTATTTATTACACTTTACCACTCCGTAGACCCATTGCTTGATTTACTCCCTTTTATTGCTTGCATTGTATCCTCAAATACAGTAAGAGCTAAGTCTTCAGGCTTCTAGGTCAGTTCCAGCTCAATTGCTCTGAGTCCTGTGTCTGAAGTGTGTCCTGTCTTTGGCACTAATGTCTAGCTTCAAGTTCTGGGAGGCATTCAAGGGCTGTTGCATGATCCTGTGTTATTTTGACAATATCTTAGACAACTTTAACCAACAAACTGAAGGGAGGTTTCCCTGCCCACCTTCAGCTATACACATAAATTTGTGTATTTATTGTATGTCTAATTTTCAGTAGAACTTTGCATTAATACATTTCCCTCTGGTTTTTCATACCATCTACAAGTTATTCACCCCTCTCACTCTCCCTGTATAATCTTCCCTACTCCTACCCCAGTTGAAGTACCTCTCTTTTCCACATTTCCCCTTTCATAATTCATGTCTCCTACTATTCCCCTTTCTTGAGCTCCTTCCCCTTTATTCCTATGATTCCTTTCTATTTATCTGGCTCCTGAGGTTACGTCAGGATGTATACTCACATCAGTGGATTTGGAGATAAAATTCACAGAGACAACATACTGTTGCTTGTTCTGAGTCTGTGTCACTTCACTTAGTGTAATAGTTTCTAGTTCCACTCATTTACCTGAAAATTTCATGACTTCATTTTTCTTTACAGCTGAGTAGAACTTTATTGTGTGAATGTACCACATTTTCATTATCTATTCATCAGTGGAAGAATATTTACGTTATGTCCATTCCTGAGCTATTGTGGAAAAAGAAGCAATGAACATGGCTGTGCACATACCTCTGTAGTAGGATAAGACCTTTGGACATATACCAAGGGGTGGAATGACTGAATCATGTGGTAGATTTATTTTTAATTCACTAAGAGCTCTCATATTTATTTCCACAGTGGTTGTGACAGTTTGCAGTCCCACCAACAATGGATAAGGGTTTCCCCTTTCCCTACATCCACACTAGCATTTAATGTCATTTATTCTCTTAACCTTAGCAAATCTGACTGGAGTTACATGGAATCTTAAGGTAGTTTTGATATGCATTTCCCTAATTACTAAAAATGACGAACACTTTTAAGGTGTTTCTTAGCAGGTGGATATCACCTTTGCAGAATATATACATTTGGGCTGAGAGTTACGTGTGCTCTGAGGATCAAGCTCAGGTCTGCAGGTTTAAGAGCAAGTGCTTTTCCTTTCTGAGCCATCTCACTGGCCAACACATTTGTAATTGGTGATTTTAAACTTTTATTTATAAAACCTGAAATAAACAGACATTCCTTCACACTATCTCATAGCTTTCACATCATCTCATATCCTAATCCCCTCCTTACTAATTGTATGTTTCTGGATTCTTTTTGTATTTGTTTTTGTTTGTTGCGTTTATAGTACTTTTAAGCAACAGAACTTTTAGGTGTTGTCTCATTTTCTACCAACTCTAACAGTACATTCTTTTGGAGTCAATGTGTGTTGTCCCTGCCACATGTAAAAACAAGTTAAATTTAGCTACTTTATCTAAGTTAATAAGTGTAAGTGCATTATGTATTTATGTGTATATGACATAGTTTCATTTTTCAACTAGGAACCCATCTTCCCCAAATCAATTATTATATAGATAATTTTTTTGTTAATAACTTAAAGCAACATAGGAATTCATTAGAGGAGTGAAAATGTTTATAAATTAAGGCCAAACATATTCATAAGCAAAACCAATGGTAAGAAGAATTCAATGAAAATGGCCTCAGGGGTCAATTAGGAAATTATTCCAAGTTCATTCTTCAGTTGATCTTTAAGGAGCTGAACAACTAAGATCAGAGTCATGATGAAATCATTAGCCTAATGAGGAACCTTGACTACTAGCCCAGGGATACTAATATTGTAAAAGCCACCCTGTAAGCTCTTAGTTATAAAAGCCTCGCCCAAGTTAAGAAGCAACACCAGAACCTCGTCCTATAGATGATCCTTCACTCTGTGATTCTGTGTGACTCTCACAAGGACACACCATCTAGCTTCAACATCTAGGTGAGATATTTGACATTATTTCTCTTGGATCTAACAGGATCTCTAAAGTACCCTAGCGAATGTATTGAAAATGAGTACCAACCCATCACTTAAATTTTAACCTGGTTATCAGTGTAGAGTTTATTTACATGATATAGGAAAACAATATTAGAATAAATACTGTAAATATCTCCTTACTAGTAAACTTTTCCAAGGTGACACATGCTGTTGTACCTTGTCTACAACACTAACACAATCTGTGTTATAAGGTCTAATAGTTGTAAAACATGGAAATGATTTCCTGCACAACAATATCTGTTCCTAATAGAACATAATATCTGTGGCAAAATATTCTGACACTTTCTTGAATTATTGTTTAGATGTTTGGGAGATGACTTTGAGAAAGTATTGACAGGGCTAACCTAAATAAGTGTCATAAACTAAATGCATTAACAATGGACATTTATTGACAGTTCTGAGCACAGTCAGTATACACAAGAATTCAAGAGCATGGCGGCCACAAGTCTTTTCTCAAACCCTCCTAAAATATGAAGCTGCTGGTCCATGTAGCTTATTGTTTTTTCACCTCTTCTTATTCTTCAACAACATGGAAGCTATTAACCAAACAGTCATTTCAGAATTCTTTCTCCTGGGACTGAGTAATGATCCTGCTCTACAGCCGCTCATCTTCAGCCTTTTTTTGTCCATGTACCTGGTCACTGTCCTGGGAAATCTGCTCATCATCCTGGCTGTCAGGTCTGACTCCCAACTCCATACTCCCATGTATTTCTTTCTCTCTAATCTCTCCTTCAATGACATCTGTTTAACCACAACCACTGTCCCAAAGATGCTGGTGAATATTCAAACACAAGATCAGACCATCACTTACACAAGTTGTCTCTCCCAGATCTACTTAGTCTTGAGTTTTGGTAGTTTAGAAAACTGTCTTCTAGCAGTGATGGCCTATGACCGCTATGTGGCTATCTGTTACCCTCTGAAGTACACAATCATAATGAATTCCCATTTCTGTATAATGTTGATTCTGCTCTCTGTGTCCAGCAGCCTTGCATATTCTCTGTTCCACACTCTGATGGTGTTGCGACTAGCGTTTTGCACGGACATAAAAATCCCCAACTTCTTCTGTGAATTGGCTCAAATTATCAAACTTGCCTGTTCTGAAACCTTACTCAATAACGTGATGGTGTATATACTGTCTACTCTATTCGCTGGTGTTCCTCTGTTTGGGATCATTTTGTCTTATACTCGCATTGTGTCCTCTATTTTGAAAATGTCATCATTAAGGGGAAAGTACAAAGCCTTTTCCACCTGTGGGTCTCACTTGTCAGTGGTGTCCTTGTTCTATGGTACAGGTTTTGGAGTATACATCAGCAATGCAGTTATTGACTCTCCAAGGAAGACTAGGGTGGCCTCTGTGATGTACTCTGTGGTCACTCAGATGCTGAACCCCTTTATTTACACTCTGAGAAATAAGGACATGAAGAAAGCCTTCAGGAACATCATTGGCAGGCGTGCATCACCTCTATAATGTATTATAATTTGCTTCAGATGCCAATTTTGATAGTAAGTAAACTTTGGTGAATTATTCATATGTTAGGTTGCCTCATTCCTTTGTCACTTAATTTTTCTACAAGAAATAAATGGCATAATGTTGAAGTGTGTTTTAAGATGGTTTTAATGCTGTGTTTTCTTCATGGCTCTCTCTGTGTGGTTAGACATATAAGTCTCTAAGCAAAACTTATTTACTCAGTTTGTGTACTGGATTGGGAGTATTAATTTTAAGAATGTTTATTAAGTCTCAGATTAAATTACCAGACATTCATGATATCCATGCCAAGTAATAGTCAAATACTGCATGGTTAAATCTCTGTAACTTCCATTCTGGAATCAGCCTTTCAGTGAGTCAAGGGAGTGAATACAAACACTCAAGCAAGCAGCACCTGAGACTCATTTCTTATAAATAAGAGTTTTTCAAAAATTAATTATGGCTGCCATATTCTATTTCATTAATTCTGAAATGCTCAAATTAATTACTACCAAGTGGTTCTAAATGATGTGACATTTGAATATGGCCCATGAAGATGACTGAAGGTTAACTGTCATTCCAAAGCATGAGAATTAAGAAGTAACCCATAACAGAGAGCTGAGGTTTCTACAGTCCTCCTTGAAATAACATTATGTGATTTCTGGTCTCTTCCTAGTAATGAGGTACTTGTAGTAAAATAGTCACAACTGACAAGAATATCAGAGACAGAACGCTGAAGACATTTCCCCTTTGCTGATAATTTTTAACTAGTCCTGCATCAACTCGACTGCAACTGTCTCTCTAGTGGAATGAATGGTCTATCTTGAAAATTTGTTTAAATAATATTCTCTGATATGACATTATTAACTCATGTGATATATAGAAGAATGTTTTTTCAGCACAGTTAAACCACTCTTTAATATGACAATGAAAAGATAGTAAGTTTATCTTGTTAAAAACAAGATTCTTCATCATTTGTAGTCTTCAAATATTATAACAATTAAACTGCTATAATTAAACAAAGCATACATATAAAATTTTCAGAATTTGTTTGACAAGTAATACCTTTACGCAGACATGACCTTCTAAATTGATTATTGGATATGTCTGAGACAGGTCATGGTATGCAACCCAGGCTCTCCTTGGATTCCCATCCAGTGGTCACAGCTTCCCAAATGTACCAGCACATTGGCTCTCTGATCTTCTTTTTGACATGGCTATCCAAACTTAATGAATCAATTTTCTCTCTTCTTATGACTGTCATATTTTGGGTTCAAAACCAAACATGCTGTTAGATTTAGCAGTTACTTTAACTTCTCCCATACCATATATATTCCGACTAAACAAGGTGACATTAAAATTATAGAGCCTGTCCAAGGACCCACACTCTACAGACTCTTATTCTCTGTGTTTTGGCCATTTGTAACCTTTTCCATTCCTGGTGCCCTGTTGCATGAGGGTGCCTCATTGATGAAAGTTGAAAGCTGAATTAGTGTTTTCCTCATCCCTTGTTCTATGTTCTGTGAGCCTTAGGTGCAGAGGTTGCATTCTAGGTATGCTACTTAGACTTGGGCAATTCACAGACGATCTCTGTGTGTAACCAGTTGTGGAAACCTGTTGTTATCTCTGTGTCTTGAAAAAGAAATTTCTTTGATGGGTGTGGCTAGGATACTTGTCTATATACTTAAGGATCCATATTTTGCACATAGTAAGAAATTACTTCTGTTTAGCTATGTGACAGCCTTGGAGTTTTCCCTAAGATCTATGGCCTCTCCAGCTATTTGTATTTGGCTAGCTTTACAGTACCACACACGAGTTTCCTTCCATTGAATGAGCTTTAAGTCCGATTACGTAGCTATTGATTGCTCCCCATATAAAAATGCCACTACTGTGCCAATGTTCTTTGCTGTGCTGGTCATTGATGTGGTTTTTAGGCCTTGAAGGTGAGATTGGACAATTGATTTATGCCCTCCCTGAGCAGGTTGCATAGTGCTTTCCAAAGTTATGAGAGATAGTTTTCAGGGAAGGTGGCTTCCAGGTCAGTTCCAGATGTGTTGTGGACTCCTATATTAAAATCCACCCACCCAGGGCTCAGGGACCATTGCTGAAGAAGGGTGGAAAGATTATAAGAGCCAGAGCCTGGGTACATGACCTTACAGAAATAGTAATACAGGTGCCTGGGATCCTTCTCACACAAACCTACAGCAAAGGTATCAGCATACACAAGACCCATGCAACCTTAAGCAGTAAAAAACCCAACAAAGAACTGTAGAAATGAACAGTTTCCCACAGAAACTCTTCCAGCTAAGAGGTCCAAACCTTAGTCGAAGAATTATTGGAAGCTGATTACTACTGGATGAGGAAGAGCTCATCTTCCTAAATGGAGTGGCTCTAGATAGGCTGACTAGATCCCAGTGGATGAACTGCACTGAGGGACATCTGGGGCCACTAACTTTACATAATGGGCCTTAACACAAATGACAGAATGTATGAACTCCAGGGAGGGGGGCTATAGGAAGGTGCCAAAGGGGAAGGGGTTAAAAAGATGATTTTCTGTATGAAATACACACAAATTTTTTTTTAATAAAAAGAATAAAATTACAGAGCCTGTTATTCAAAATGAATAATAGTGCTCAAATATTCTCTTCTTTATCTTCCAAATGAATTCAAAAGTAGTTTTCTAGATGAGGCTGTCCTGGATCTTGCAGAGATCCACCCACATCTGCCTCTCAAGTGCTGGGAGTAAAGGCATGTGCCACCATGCCCAGGTAAGTTCTACATCAACTGTTGCTGCTGTTTTTTTTTCATCAAAAAGACAAAAAAATAGTTTTGTATTTGGAATAGACTTTTTGACTACAGCAGAATGGCTACTACATTTTGGAATATACAATGCATTTTTAAATGAGGTTGAACCAGTTTATATTCACACTACACCCCTATCATCTCCCAAATAATTCCTTTTACTATTGACAAATAGTAGGTACAGAATTTTGTATAAATAAGTATGAAGTTCTGTATTTATTAGGTTGAGAATCAGTTTACAAATGTATATTTGTAATAATATCTTGGGATACATAAATTTATGATATAAATTAATATATCAAATAATTGAGATGTTTCTGTTCTCAAATTTATTTTAAAGTAGGTTTTTATATAATTGCAATCTAAAATTGGTTTAAGTTGATAATTTAGTCTCTGGGAGTAGTCACACTTTGCATGTATTTAATAGTTTTCCAGAAATACTTAGCTTTAATGTGTTTAATTCCAAATTTGATTTCATTTTTAATTGAATTTTTGTGAACTTCATACAATATCTTTGATCATATTTAGACCCCATCCCTTATCTTCACCCTCTCCTTAATATCCTCAGCCCTATTTCATATTTTCCATCATCTGTATTAAAGCTTATTTTATTGTTTTTGTCTCCAAATACGATGCCTTTGTTACACATCCGTCTACTGGAGCCTTGTTAACCTATCTAACATCACACACTTAAAGAAAGCTTACTCTCTTCCAGCAGGTAAAGGTTGCCAATACTTTCTCGGCTATGGTTGGGGCTTCTTCTCCACTTTCCTACTTGTGTACTGGGATTTTGATTGGCTTGAGCTTGCATGGGTCTTGTGCATGACATTATGATTTCTGTGAGTTCATATAAGCAATTGCACAGATATCTGGAAAACATTTGTTTTCCTTTGGTCATCAACCACTCTTGGTTCTTATAGCCTTTCTGCCCTTCCTTCCACAATGGGCTCTGATCATGGGTCACAGAGGTTTTATATAGGCCTCCTATTCAATATCAAGCACTCTTCAGCTTCTTATTTTTTGCACTTTGACAAGTTGAGTCTTTCTGTGTTAATCACTTTCTGTTGGATGAGGAGACTCTGCTAGTGAGAGTTGAGAGGTGCATTAATATTGTTTCTGCCTCCTGTTACATTATATTCCCATATTTTTAGATGTAGAGGCTCCATTGTAGATTTGTCACTTAGGGATGGGCATTTCTGAGACAATTATTCTCTGCATTTGACCAATTGTGGAACTTTTTAATAGTCTCATTCCATTGCAAAAAGAAAGTTCTTTGATGAGTGGTGAGAGGTACATTTCTCTCTCTCTCTCTCTCTCTCTCTCTCTCTCTCTCTCTATATATTCATATCATTGGATATGGATATGGATATGGATATGTATTGAGAACATGGTAAATTGCATGTTCTAGGAAAGTGACAAAAGTAGGTTTTTCTCTAGGGTCTTTGCCATCACCAAGCATGTGTATTTGGCTATGTTTACAATACCACACATAAGCTTTATCACATGGTGAAGGTCTTAGTCCAGGCAGACAGCTCTTGATTAATCCTATGTGGTTTATAATACACTTTACAGCTGTATATAACAGTTAATTTTCTCACTTGGCAGCTTGCGTAATATCCTCTGACACTATAAGAGCTAATTTTCTGGGAAGAGGCTTCCAGGTCAGTTCCAGATCCTTGCTACAAGTTCTTTGTCCAAAGAATGTTCTATCTTAGCAGTAAGGTCTTTTTTTTCAATGTCTGTTTTTATTGACTTTTTGTGTATTACATACAAAACATCTTAACCATGTTTATAGCCTTATAACCCTTCCCCCATTCACACCTTTCAATAGCTGACCCACTGGATTTCATGCATTCTGTCAGATATGTTATGGCTTCTTGAGTCAGGTTTGTGTACATAGGTGTCCCTCAGCCTTACTGTCAAGTTCTGGTAGACAACCAAGGGTTGTGGCAATAGTCTGTGTTATTTTGAGAGTCTCTCGTACCACCCTGACCAACAACTTGAAGAGAGGCTTCCTTTTCCTGGCACTGTGTTTTTTTCTTACACAGCATTGAGCTGTACACTTGTATTCACATACACCTTGTCTGTGTATTTTTCAGTAGGTTTTTCAACGAACAAATTTCCCTTGTTTTTTGAAACCATATAAACATTATTTATTTCTTCTCTCTCTGTTTTGTTTTAATATACTTTTTCCTACTTTT